TTCCTGCAGCACTCGATAGTGCGTATGCCCTGGCGACCGCAGTCCCAGCAGAAAATGATTCTCTGGTTCCGGCATTCCGCGGCGTAGTGGCCGGCCTGGCCGCAGTTTCGGCAGGCGGTGCTGGGGTCGGTTGACCTGATGGGCGTGGCCTCTTGGTTGGAGTTTCCTCCGTTGCCTCGGCTAGTGGGCTCGTCGGTCGCGTCCCCAGGGCGTGGCACCTGCGGTGTGTAGACAGGGTTCGCCCTGGGTCGTGCGACTCTGCTATGGGATGGATACTCAGCGTCTGGGCTTGCTGATGGGTATCCACGGATGGTTCGGCCTCCTCGGCTGCGGGCATCCTCAAAGTTGGCCACCAGGTGCGTGAGTTCGGTCAGCGTCTTGAAATCCTGGCGGCGGGTGAACATCTGGTATTCGGGCAGCATGTTCTCGTAGATTCGTTCTAATTCTTGCTCGGGTGAGAATCCAGCGCGGCGCATCTGGAGGCGAAGATCCACCAGGTATTCCTTGAACGGCTCATTCACTTTCTGGAAGTGAGAGTGGATCTCGTCGTCGAGGCGTTGATAGTACCGGGGCGGCAGGAAAAATTCTAAAAATTCCCGGCGGACTTCGGTCCAGGTACGTCCCTGTAGATCACTGGTTCGGAACCAGCTTCCCGCTCGGCCAGTCAGGAGGACGATGATAGCGTGCGACAAATACTTCCGGTCGATCCGGTAGGTATCTGCCAGTTCTTCGATGTGTTCCACGAAGCTGAGCGGATCTGAGGTGCCGTCGAAGGACAGTCCCCATTTGGTCGCTTTGTCGACCAACATCGAGCAGATGCCTGCGTCGAACTGGAATGCACTGGCGCGTGCGGTGGTCTCCGATTTCCCTCGCGTCCCTGGGGACGGGGAAGTGCTGCGTGGTACGGCCAGCGTGTGATTGCTGCTGGGTACCTTCTCCTGGTAGGGGGTATCGGCGAAGGTGGTTTGATGTCTCCGGAAGGGGTGTACTTGCGTTCCAACTCCCCAAGCCGGATCAGAGTGTCCTCGGAGTGCTCCGGTTGCCTGGCGAACGCGTACAGTCGGGCTCGTTGTTCCTCGACCGTGCCGTTCTGCTCCAGGCCGAGATCGAGAAGAATAGCCTCGAGCTCGTGCTTCTTCCTGTATGAGATCCAAGAAATTCCCATGTTGCTTGATGTGTGTCCTTGTAGTCCTGTGTTTCCTTGATTGTCCTGGCTATGGTGCAGGAGCGGCGATGTGTATCCTTGATTGTCCTGGCTATGGTGCAGGAGCGGCGATGTGTCCTTGAGTATCCTTGGTATCCTTGAGAGGGTGTGTATCCTTGATGTCCTTGGCGTGGTGTGTATCCTTGTGGTCCTTGAGTGATCCGGCGGATCGATGTGTGCTCGTGGAGTTCTGATGATCGACTGTTCTCTTCTAGCTCTGGTGAACGACTGTTGTCGATGTGTGTCGGCTGGCGACCTATATGCTTCTCTGCTTTGCCGGCGTCGGGCGTCCCATTTTGTGAAGGGACCAGTCGTGCGCAAGGGAACTAAATTTTCCTAATCGCGTGGTTGCCGGCTGCGGCGTCCACGTGGCCTAAATTTGGCGACTCTCTTTCTCTCCATCTCTCCTTCTCTCTGTTCTCTCCCGTATGACTGTACTTTTCTGTCGCGTGCTGCGATATTTTCCTCTCTCTCGTAATTATTTTTTCCTATTCCTTTTCTTTTCCGTCCAAAAAACGTGTTCTCCCTAACTTTCGTCCCTAACCTCAGATTTTTACCTAATTTCGACCCTATTTTTCTTCTGGTGGGTTTTTATGCCACGAAGGATTAAAATGTCCTTACGATATCCTGTCTAGTCCCTGCTCGGGCGCCATCTGTAAGGATGCTAATCACGGGCCAGGATAAATACTCAGTCTATCCAGGGTCCCCTACAGAAATAATTTATATTTACGGAGACAGACAGGACAAGGAGGCGGGTTTTCTAATTGGGCGTGGGTTTGAGGGGGGAAAGTTGGGTTAGTTTGGGTTGCGTGCCGTGGTTATGCCGTCGCCCGTCACCCGGGCGGCCGGCGGACCTGGGCAGGCCCAGGGCGACCGATCCCGTCACCCGTGGATCGGCTTATCCGGCCCCGTCATCCGGGTGCCGGAGCCCTGTTAGGGGCGGAGGATTATGAGCCGTCGATCCCGTCACCCGTGGATCGACTTGCCAGCCCCGTCACCCGGGTGCTGGTGCTCAAGGAAAGGATGTAGTGAGCGACTGATCCCGTCATCCGTGGATCAGTGTGCCGGCCCCGTCACCCGTCGGCCGGTGCTCAGACTACGAAGGAGGGGATGGTGAGCGACCGATCCCGTCATCCGTGGATCGGTGCTCCTAACTACTGGGTAAGAGCGACTGATCCCGTCATCCGTGGATCAGCGTGCCGGCCCCGTCAACCGTCGGCCGGTGCTCGTAGGTAGGGAGGAGGAGAGGGTTTTGAGCGGCCGATCCCGTCACCCGTGGATCGGTGCTCCTAAGTACAGGTTATGAGCTACTGCCCCCGTCACCCGGGGGTCAGCGTACCGGCCCCGTCAACCGTCGGCCGGTGCTCGTAGGTATGGGGAAAGGGGAAGGAGGACTTGGGAGAGAGAAGACTCTGGTTATTTGTATTTTGCTTACAACTTTATTTATAATTTAGTGCCTGGGGTCCCTAGCTTTCCCTGCGCACGCGCTGGCCACCCCGTAGGGCTGGCCCGCGGCCGGCTCACCAGTCTTACTGAGAGGACTCCATGTCCACGTGTCCTTTGTTCCTTGTTGTCATCCGTTCACGTCTGTTCACTTTGATCGCCGAAAACTAACTCCCCATCGGCGAACAGCGAAGGCTGTTCGAAGCCCTCGCTGCTGCCGTCGACCGCGGCAGCGGCCCTTACGCTGCTTCCGTGCAGTCTATAGGCGTCCTCTTTCGTCTGCCGCCTCCCGCACCCGCGTCTCTTTGCGCGATCGTGCGTTCCTCTTCCTTTCCGTGTCTCTCCGGGCCCGGCCGTCGGTTCTGCCGAGGACGCAAGTTTGGAGAGATGGAAATGTTGCTGGCGTGGTTGCGGATGTTGCTGATGTGGATGTTGCTGACGTGGATGTTGCTGATGTGGATGTTGCTGATGCGCGTGTTGCTGATGTGGATGTTGCTGATGTGCGTGTTGCTGATGTGGTCTTCTAGCTCCTAACTCTTATCTTATAAACTATTTCTAACTTATATGTACATACGGTAGGGGGGGGATGCCCTTGTGAGGGTTACCTCACAAATTCTAGGTTCGTCTCGCTTAACTTCATCTGCTTGTATTTTTAACGACAACAATTGTATTATCTGCTGCAACATCTCATTATTTGCATTAATTTTTCCTGAATCCATTTTACTTTCATGCGTTACTGCTGCTAAAATTTGTCTTCTTTCTTTTTCTACTTTTTGATCTTTTGCCAACTTTGCTTGTGAAGACCTCAGATCGTATGTTTGTCTCGCTCTTTTCTCTATAGTTGTATCGGTCTTTTTTTCAACACTGGTTATTTTCGATCCTCTTTGTAGTTTTGTCGTCTGCGATCGTGTATCGTATATCTGTTTTGCTCTTACCACCGGGATCTTCCTATTATCAACTTCCTGCGGGATGCTTCGTGGCTCAGCTTTCCCTCTTTCGCTGGGCAGCAACGCTTTTTTGTGGCTCATGAAATTCTTTAACTTTACTTTGTTATTATTTTGGCTTGGACGAGCCCCCAAATGTAAGACTGGGTTATACCAGCAGGTTTATTAAATGAAAGATTTATCAAAATTAACAAAATAAGGTTTACAGGACTGACAAGAATTCTTCGACGCTTGACAACTTAATTGATGCAACCAACACGACAGCTCGATCAACACTGCCCTCGCTTCTTCACTTCGCTCTCAGGGAATGCTCTCTTTGCCGTCACGCTGCCCATACTGCTTTACATTTATTATTTATTCATATATGTTCCATGTAATCGTCCTGCGGTACCGTGGTTAGGTGTTCTATATGTTAGTATATAAGTATAAAATGAATTCTAAAATTATAACGAATTAAAAAAAACAATGAATCCATCTGAGTAGATATTCCCATTGGTGGGGGGTGAGAGGACTTAGTCGGACTACCTTGCCCACGACTTAAAATTTGGGAGATGTGTCCGAAATTGGAACGAGGATGCCCTCATGGTTGGGTGGGACTCCTAGGGCTACCAATTTGGTGAGGTAGTCCAATCTGGATATTCCAAAAATTTCCGTTGTGTTCAAATTAGTTGTCCAGATCCAAAAAAATTCCGTTTTGTTTGTTCTTTTTTTGTTGTGTCTGCTGCGTGTAAGAATTTGTGGTTGTTCCCCCCTGGGATCTCGCTAACTAGCCGGCAACTTAAACACGCGAAAAGCAGGACATGACAATTGGCAGTTTTCTTGCTCAGAAAACCCAGTAGGCGGTCCTGGAATTCAATCGCACATGGTCGCAACTGGAATTTGCACTTTTGCCGAATCTCTGGGTTGAGGTAAAATGCCATGTAGTAGTCATGGGCACACTCTTTAAGATCTCTGCCGGCATAATTTTCGTCCGACTGTTGCAGAACTTTCACAATTTCTTTTAAATTCTGCACGCTCCTCTTAAACTGGTCAAAACTAACAATAGAACTATGAAATAATGAAGTGAAAGATTAGAGGAAAGCATATGTGTGAAACGCTTTTGTTGCTCACTTGTTGTTATGGGAAATGTCTGCGACATTCTTTAAAACACTTTTGACTGCGATGTCATCAAAGGTCTGCCAAATTCTAGCAACATGGCTAACGGAGTTCCAACAACTCCGTTAGCCAAGTTGCTAGAATTTGGCAGACCTTTTGATCATAGTTCTATTGTTAGTTTTGACCAGTTTAAGAGGAGCGTGCAGAATTTAAAAGAAATTGTGAAAGTTCTGCAACAGTCGGACGAAAATTATGCCGGCAGAGATCTTAAAGAGTGTGCCCATGACTACTACATGGCATAACTATAAAGTAGTTATTTTGGCCACGATGAAGTGGGGCCATGTAATAGCAAGAATAGAAAGTTTCTAAGATTTTACGACCACGTTGACTATCGCCCAACAGCTGTAAACAATCCTTTTTGCTTTTAGTGAGCCTGTCGAACACCTCTGGTTTGTTTAGGTTCCTTTCAAAAGTTTTAAAAGAAACCGGGAATATAAAGGTGCCCATCCTGCCCAGACCGAAATGTTGTTAATGCCATCAGTTTGATTTGAATGCCACTTACTTTTCGACTTCAACAATCACACCTTCAGATCCTGGTTCCTGGTTTTGTCGTCGGTTTTGTGGATGCTATCGGCGAATGGTGGGGTGGTAGCTGTCAGCCTTTAAAATCCTGAGAGGGTCTTACGCCGATTGCTAGATTCGAAAATTTTGTTTTTAAAAACAAGCACGTATAGGGTCTCATTTTTAGCTTACCACTGAAAAATTTCAATATATTTGGTGTTAACACAGTGAGAGCTTCACTAATAATGAAATTAGGAACAACTTCTCGCAAACTTATATTCAGTTAGGATGATAAGAATTACACCGATTGCTACGATTTGAATATGTTCTATTTTTAACGCAACTGCCTGGCATTGAGATCGCTGAAACCATAATTGATATAAAAGTTATTTCGACAATTGGTCAAGCCCTAAAACGTTTTTTTTAAACCCACTATGTCCTCCAAAAATAGTGTTACCCACAAAGATTATCAAAATTGTGTGTTTATACCCTTGCAGAGCAAAAGGGTATTACAATTTCAGTCAGAAGTTTGCAACGCAGTGAAGGAGACACCTCAGACGCCATATAGTATATATGTACATATATTCTTGATCAGCATCACGAGTAGAATCAGAATACGTCTGTCCGTCTGTCCGTTTCCGCGCAAACTAGTCTCCCAGTTTTAAAGCTATCTTGCTGCAACTTTCCCAAAAGGTGTGTAGTTATTGCACGCAGTATATAAGTCGGAACGGGCCGGATCGGCCGACTATATCGGATAGCTCCCATACGAGAGAATGAACTAAAAATTCTCAGACCGTTGTTTTTGATCAGATCGACTTGATTTCTTCAAGATGGCGTTTTCTAACTGTTATTGAATTTCGGATTAAATTTGATCAAAATCGGATAACTCTATCATATAGCTGCCATAGGAGCGATCGAAAAATATATATAGAAATAATGGAAATAAATTGATAACATCGTTGTTTTTTATCCCACGAGCATGATTTTTTGAACATCAAGTTTTTAAAAACTCTTATATTGAGAAAAAAGTTTCATAAAAATCGGACAACTATATCTTATAGCTGACATAGGAAAGATCGAAAAATCTATATAGAAATAACGTAAATAAAATTGTAACATCGTTGTTTTTCATCAGACAAGCATGATTTTGGAATGTAGAGTTTTCTAACGACTCTTGAATACCGAATTAAATTTCATCAAAATCGGACGAGTATATCATATAGCCGTCATTTGAACAATAGTCGAAAATATAGAAAATGAATAGAAAAATCATCTTAGCTTCGATGTTGTTTAGCCGTTATGTATTTTGTTCGACATATTTGATGACTGCAAGGGTATAAAACCTTCGGTTTGCCGAAGCTAGCTTCCTTTCTTGTTTTCTTTTGTGAAAAATCTTTTCCTCCATATAAGGGCCTCCAAAAAGTTTTTTATACGGGGCCCCGACAAGGCACGCTACGCCACTGCTCCGAAGCCTTTTCTTATTGCGTTGCAGCTCGTTGATATCCCCAGAAGCTCGACTGCTGCTAGAATTAGAATTAAAAGAACAAGCCGATTTAATAGGTGTGGAGTGTTGTACAGCTAGTGACATGACAGACACTAGTGCTTCAACTGAGCTGTCAATCTCTTCTTTTTGGTACATGTTTGGGATGCCATCAATATGGTTACTTACATACTTTCTGTTTTTAAGCCAATCTGTTTTACTGGAAGTTAGAAGATCTGTGCGTTTTGAATGCTGTGGATGGTCGTAGAGAAGAAGTAAAATGGGCGAGTGATCCAATGAAAGATCGGTTAAGGGTTCCACATGAAAATGACCTCTAGGCACTCTTCTTGTGACGGCAAAATCCATCAGGTCAGGCTTCTTATTAGGATCTGTTGGCCAATATGTTATTATCTGGAGAGTCAAGCTTGTTTCTTGGTGTTATTATAGCGTTGTACAGCTGTCTTCCTTTGGAGTTGGTGAGTCGAGAGCCCCAATGGGGATATTTTGCATTGTAATCACCAGCCGCTATAAAACGGTTACCTTATATGTCAAAGAACTGTAAAAATTTATCTTCGGAAATAAAAAAGCGTGGTGGGCAGTATACAGCGGATAGGTTTAAGGGGGGCTTCTCATGTAAAATTTAAAAAAAAAACAATTTTTTTTTCATAAATCGATAGAATAACGTCTTGAGAGTATATTCCCAAAGTTTTATGACTCAACTCTCAATATTATGGAAAATATGAGTGATTGAACGAGCGCGCTCGGGCGCGCTTTGTGTGCTAACTCAAAATTTTAAATCGTTTTTTCTCAAAACTATGATTTTAAAAACGCGATACACGATTACGATAAAACTACTGAACCGATTTTTGATTTCTAAAAAGTGTTTTGCAGATTATACATTGAACGAGTGCATGAATATCTGAAATTGTGAAAAAAAAGTTATTTTATACACTTTTCAGCCCAATTCAGCAAAAAAAAAGACGAAAAAATGGCACTTTTTTTCAAGACGTGATTTCAATATTTTAAAATCGAATTTTTTGAAGTTGCAGACATTCATGCACTCGAGGGAACCTTGCTGAATAATAAAAAATTTTTTTTGTATGTTTAAGATGAAAACTTTGGGCTCCACACTGTACCGCAATAAGTCCTTCAGCCGCGTCGAGCCACACGCGACCTTGAATAAGTCCGCCATTTTGTTTTTTAGAATTTTCAAAAAATGTTTTTCTCATACTTTAAACATGTCTTCAAATATATGCAAAAAATTATTCATGTAAGTTTTCATTTTCCAAGTGAAAAAAATTCCCAAAAAACAACTACTTTTTGACATGTTACATGAGAAGCCCCCCTTAAGACAGTGGCGTAGATAGGGTGGAGATCACGGTGATCAAACCCCCCCTTGGGTCTGAGAATTATAAGATGATAAAATCGAATTTTTTCCAGGCATGTGTTTTAATGTAAGCATAACATTTTTGAAGCGCCAATATTTATTTTGTCTCAATGTGCAATACGGCAATTAATGGTAAAACTCTCAAAATTGAAAAAGAAACACATATTCTGAGTCATATCCCCCCCCATATCAAAAAGCTATCTACGCCACTGGTTTAAAAAACCGCTTTGGGTATCGATGTGTATTGATGTAGCTTCTAAATAGTCTGTTGCGAATGATGGGAACTCATAATGCCTGATGCGTTTCTTGGTCAGTAGGCCAGTGCCGCCATGAGCCTTGGCATCTGTATGGTTTGTTTTATAAAATGTGTAGCCATTAAGGTGAAAACGGTTTTGTTTTCTTAAGTGGGTCTCTTATATAAGCATGGCCTCAATGTCACACTGATTTTGGAACTGCGAGAACTCGTATTTGTGCTGTGAAATGCCGTTCGCATAATCTATAATTTCAGTGTGGTTTCCCCACAATTACTACATTTTTTGTCAGAGTGGTCCTCCTTGTTTATTGGGCAGGCCACTGTTGAGTGTACATCTCCGCAGCCAACGCAGTAAGTTGCAGTGCGCGGGCCCATTCCGCTTGTAGGGTTCCTCAACGGTGATCCTACGGTGCAGTAGATATTGAAGCTTAAAAAAATGTACCTTCTTCACTCCACCCGGGAGCAAAGGGCCTCTACAATTTTTTGTAAGGATTCATTAAACTTTGGTTATTCGATCGCACTGGTGATTAGCCAGTAGCGACTTATAAAGCTTAGATATTGGGTGAATTCCATTGTTTTTAAATGCATACTTTCCGGCTCCAACTCTACCTTCAGCATTGGCTGCGGAATTTTGTTTTTAAATGGTTTTATTTAGCTTATCCTGTTTGTTTTTTTGGTGCGTCAAAATTAGAAATTGAAATTTAAATACCTTCCTGTTGTCAGATTGATCTGAAATTTGGTACTTCCTTCTTAAAAAAAATTTTTGATTTTCGGCATTAAAATGAGAAAAATTTCTCCAGAAATCGGAAAGAGTGTTGTGTGCCTTTTTGAGAAGAGCTGTTCTGTATCGGAAAGGCTCGGTTTACACCAATCTGCAGTGACTGCGGCTCAAAAAAGCTGAAATGTGACTACCAAACCGCTAGTCAAAGGTAGAAAAAAATTATTTAGACTCAGATGCTCGACATATTATATGATGTCCAAATTGCGAAAAGTCAAGCTGCCATCACCAGTGGACGGCCAGGAGAGCACTGCATAACATTGGTTATGTGTCAAGCGTTAAAAAAACAAGCCTGCATTATCTAAAAAGAATGTTAAAGCACGTTTGAAATTTGCTAAAGACCAAAAAAACTCGACTACTGATGATTGGAAACGAATACATATTTGGTATAATGAATCCAAGTTTAACCGTTTTCAATCAAATGGAAAGCAATACTGCTGGCGCAAGCCCCGTCAACGTAAAAGGCACCATGTAAAGCAAACTGTAAAACATGGTGGCATGTTGGCCCTCTGCAATTGGTAGAAGGTATAATGCGAAAAGAGGACTACCTAAAAATTTTAAAACCACTCTTCCCAATTTTATGGAAAAATATGCTTATCACGAAGACAAAGTTGTTTTTCAACGAGATGGTAATCCAAAGTACACACCGAAAATTTTCAAGGAATCGATTGGCAAATAAATTGGATGGAGTGGCCAGCACAAAGTCCCGACCTCAATCCGATTGAAAAAATTTGGTCAATTGTGAAAAAACAGCTCGGGCAGTTCAAAGCAGCCGCAACAAACATGGCCAACCTTTGGGAACGTGCAACATCGGAATTGGATCAAATCCCAGAAGTTGTTATAAAAAATATGGTAGAGAGAATGTCAATTTCCTAAAGATTACGTATACCGATATATGTACATATGTATGTAACCAAGTGCTGTTCAAGCTGATCTGAAGTGTACTAACATACATACATACATGCCTTTCTTCTTCCCTACGACTCGGACCTATAACGGCCTCCTAGGAGATATATGTATGTACAAATTCAATGATCTTATTCAGCGGGGTTTGTAAATATCTTTGACTTTTTTAAGGTATAAACTCAAAAGATTGTTTAAAATGGTACAAAATGTTTATACAGTCGAATCCCGATAATTCGTACCCCGCTAAATCGAAAATAGCGATAATTCGTAAAAAATTCTGTCCCCTTGAAAAAAAAACTCGTTAATTCGTAAAAATTCCATACATTTTAGTCCTCTCGTCAATTCGTAGTATTTGGCGCAAAACAAAGAATATTGTACCTCTTATAATTGCTAATTTTGTTTCGTAACCTCTTATAAATCGTAATGCGATGCGAAATTTTTTGTAGTTAAAGCACCGTTAGATTTTGCAGACAGATATGCCGCCTTTTTGTCGCTATGCATTATGAATTTGGTGTTTCTCTCGCTGTTATAATTTTATGTTGTCGTTTAATTTTCCTTTAATTTGAAAAACGTACAAATGAATGTACATACTTATAATGTTTGTTTAATTTTAATAAAGTTAAATACATATGTAAACATGATATGAAATGTAAAAACCCCGTTTATTCGACTTCTTCATTTTTGAGCCCCGTTAAATAGAAATCTCGATAAATCGAATTCCCGTCTAATTCGTAAAAAAAAGTGATCCCCTTGCCATTTCGAATTATCGGGACTCGACTGTAAACCTGATGTCAGTGGAATCGAGTTATTTTATTAAGTTGGTATTTTTTGCCTTGGTATCTTTTTTTAGTTATGTTGCGTTGCTTAGAAGTGGTCACACTGATAGACAGACGCGCCGTTTTGCAGAAAAATTACTTACAGGTAAATTAATGATACATTTTTAATGTTTTAAAATTTGAAGGGTTTTCGGAGATCCTCAAAAGTCTGGCACCCAGCAGTCTGCTGTAAAAATATCAATAACTTAGTTTTATTGAGCTACCGCCGAACACGTAAGCGATTGTTCGCGAATATCAAGATGGCGGCTAAAGTTGGCTTGACAGAAAAAATAATTGGAAGCTACTATTTGCCAGACTTAGTAGTCTGTTGCCCAACCTTCAGCTATTAAATCCCTTGCAACCATTTGGAAGTAAAGACTTATGTTGCAAGAAGTGAGGTTATGTATTAGCCGCTTTCACTTAGGGAGAATTACTTTTCTTTTATAGGCAGCCCATAATGGCAGATTCGGACGACGAGTACGACCGTAAGCGGCGGGACAAGTTCCGTGGAGAACGCAGTGATAGTTATCGAACAGAGCGCCGTGACGAGCGCCGTCCTGTTGGCGGTTCTGCCGGCGCTCGCGACGAGTGGTCAGAACGGTAAGTGGAGGTTAACCTTTTGCTATTACATGACACCATTACTGGACGTTGCAGCAATCCCTTCAGGGGCGGGGCTTCCGCAGGCGGCGGCGGAGGAGCCCGCCACAGACCGGACTACAGCGACTACCGGGGTCCTGGGGCTAGACCCCGCTATGGTTCACCTGGTCGGGATCTGCCGCCCGCCAAGCGAATGCGGCCTGACTGGGGCGACGGAGAGGCACGGGCCAATCCGAGGTTCGGGGGTAAGTTTAAATAGTCGCTGGTTATACAGAATTCAATGATCAAGTTCTTTCTAAATAGGATATGACCCTTACTTGATGCAGGCCTGGAACGACCACTACCAGTCCATACACTCGGCATACTCCCACGGTCATGCCCCACCTACTCGGGAGCCAGTTAGCAGTGGCAGCGACACCCTGACCCAGCCCGCTATGCTCAACCTTAAACAGTTCCTTGATACCCAGGACGAAAACATATCTGACTCGGAGGTTATGCGCAAGTACACCGAATATAAAACGGACTTCAAGCGGCAGCAACTTAACGAGTTTTTCGTGGCCCACAAGGACGAGGAATGGTTAGTACCTGACCAGCGGGTGCATCCATTACGGTTACGTTGATATGTCTGCCTATGCAGTCCCCTTGCGTTATTTGCCCTATTCTTCTCCTGTTCGCCACTCATAACCATTCTGTATATTAAGTTTTTCTCTGCAGCTTATTGGGTTTGTGAGACAGAGACTTCTCTGAGAGGTTCTGCGCCATCTCGCAGAGCTGCTAACTGATATCTACCAAACTAAATTTGTTAATTACCCGGCGAGCAATGCCGAGGTGTGTTCATTTTTGAAACCGCGATTTATTTATATTCGATTGTCGAGCAAAAGCCCAAATAACTATAAAACAATCCCATTAATAACGAAAGCGATGAGCTTGCAAGGTAAGATTTTGGGTGGTAATTCAACAACAAAAATCAATCAAAACCAGTAAAAAATTAACTAAACTGACTATCAACAGCCGGGCGAAGAAGAGAAAAAGTGGAAAATAAATATTGATAGAAAAAACCACTCAATTTCTCCATACTAATGACACAATACATAAAATATTGTTTTACTGCAGGTTCAAAAATAAATATCACCCTGAAGATAGTGTAAGGCGAAGCGAAGAGCAGCGAGGCTTTTTACAGGTACTATATAAAATATCTGTGTACTTATAGCAACCAATTTTAAACGCATATATTTTAGAGGCGCACGGATGTTTTCGTGGAATTGCTGGAGAACGGCACTATTGGAGGGGTCAAGGTGGATTCTTCACAAGGTGATGCACTGATACGTGTACTAGATACCTGTGTTATAAAGCTTGAAGGCGGCACTGATGAGGATCTCAAAGTGCTTGACGAGAAGCCCAGGGAGGCGGTAACCTATGAGCGAAAGGCGGAGCCCACAGACTCTGTCAAATTAGCAGAGGAAGAAATAAAGAGCCCCAAAGAAGAGAAACTGAATGAGGATGATTCGTTGCCCATGGTTGTGTCACCGCAGCGCAAAACTGTGAAACCTGTCAACTCTGATGACGAGAACTGGGATGAAGAGGAAACGGCAACTGCGCCCCTCAAGCAAGAGGTGAAGGAGGATTCAAAGGCCACTGGTTCCAGTATTGAGGAAAAAAAGCCAATGAAAAAAAGGCAAAGAAGCGCAAAAGGAATAGCAGCGATGATGACAGCTCCTCATCTGATACCGAATCCAGCTCTAGTTCGGATGATGAGAAGCTTAAAGAGAAATACGATGTGGAAGATGGGTTACGGAGGGAGCAAAAAGCCGAGGCCGAAAAGGACAGACAAGAATCGACCAAAGCTAAGCAAGCCCCGGAGAGTCCAACCCCAGAAGCGACAGTTGAAAAGGAAATTTCTGACCCTGAAGAACCGACCGCCAAAGGCGATGCTAGTAAAAAAGACGAAACAGAAAAGGCACCGGAACCTACTTCGAGTACGCTTAAGGATGCGGAAAACGGAGACCTAAACAAAAAGGATGGAAGTGACGAAAAACCTTCGGGTGATGAAAAAAAGATTGTGGAAACCGAGACCATAGACCTGGACAAATTAAAAGATGGTCAGCCAAGGGCTCTGCATCGCACTTCCTCTATCTTCCTGCGCAACTTGGCTCCTTCCATAACAAGAGCTGAGATCGAGGCGGTATGCAACCGTTTTAACGGCTACCTCAGGGTGGCCATTGCAGATCCATTAGTAGAACGTCGTTGGTATCGCCGTGGCTGGATAACCTTTATGAGGGACGTTAACATCAAAGAGATTTGCTGGGGCCTGAACAACCAGCGACTGCGAGACTGCGAAATGGGTGCTATTGTCAATCGAGATTTGAGTCGTCGAGTACGACCAGCAAACGGTATCACCGCGCACAAGCAGGTGGTGCGCTCAGACATAAAACTATGCGCAAAGATCGCTCTTAATCTGGACGAAAGGTATAGGCTGTGGACGGATAATACTTCTGCTAACAGTGTGAGCGAAACCTCGGCGAATGGTAGCGGCGCCACGTATGGCTTCAATTCAAAAAATCCGGTGCTTCAAAACATCACCGACTACCTCATCGAAGAGGCGTCCGCAGAGGAAGAAGAGCTTCTCGGGCTAACTGGCGAGAGCAAGGACAGCGAGGGAGAGCCCATTGAGCGAGACGAGCAATTAATAGCCGTTCTGGACCGCCTGGTGCTTTACTTACGAATCGTTCACTCCGTGGACTATTACAACCACTGTGAGTACCCATACGAAGACGAGATGCCCAACCGCTGCGGCATCATTCACGCCCGTGGTCCAGCTCCGGCTCGGGTTACGAGTAACGACGTGCAAGAGTATATCAAGACGTACGAGAGCAAGCTGCAGCAATTCCTTACCAAGATCGTGTTACTGAGTGACGATGAGATTAAGGACCTGGGCGCCAAGGACGCTGAGACCGAGGTTGAAAAGTTTGTGCAGGCCAACACTCAGGAGTTGGCTAAGGATAAATGGCTGTGCCCGCTTTCGGGCAAGAAGTTCAAGGGGCCCGAGTTCATTCGCAAGCATATCTTTAACAAGCACGAGGAAAAGGTCGAAGAGGTGCGCAAGGAGGTGCAATACTTTAACAACTACTTGCGAGATCCAAAGCGCCCGCAGCTGCCCGAACATCCTGGAAGTTCTAAGCGACCAGACTCTGAGTCTGCACGAGGAGGCGGTGGAGGGTAAGCATAGATTTGAACAATACCAGCGTATAACTAAACAACAAATGTGTTTTAATTAATCAGTTACCGCCAACCAATGTACCCACCCTTTTCGGCAATGCCTTATGGCTTTGGCCCACCCATGATGGGTGGCGGCCGTGGAGGACGCAACTTTCCTCCCGTTCGCAGGTTAGTACATTACTTTATGTTTTAGATGTAGTCTAGTAGCGCTATCAACAATAGGACCCACTGCAGAATTTTCTAGAATTTATAAACGTATTCATTTTTAAGAAACTGATATTGAGAAAAATATCGTGGGTTACTATTCGTTTCCCCTATTATTTATTTTGGTGTACTGACGAGAAAGTTACAAAATATTAAAACAGAGTGAATTTTACACTACAGAGGATACAAGTTCGGCCTCAATACCCACACACTGATAGCATTTAGGTGTCCTTTACTTTTCTTTTTTTATTTGATTTCTCTTTTGTTCGTCTAAATCGAAATTTGTCACAACTTTCTTGTGTCGCAAATTTTTTGCAGAGAATTGCCTTTGGAACACCAGCGCCGGCTTATCGGTTACCACGATTTGGATGCGCCTGCCAATTCCGATATGTTTGACTAATTGATTAGCAAAATACAAATGAAAACAGGCCCACTCGATGCTGCTTTTATCTTTTGGCGACCTCAAGTTTTAAAAGCAATTCAAGCAATGCTATTAAAAGTATCTACTGATTATAAAGATGGTTTATATACAACTACCGATATCCATTTTCCTGTACAATGTTATGCCAATTGTATTAAAAATCCGACAAACAACGTTGATAAATTTTATTTGCACAAAATAAATGCGAATCCATAGCCTAAACAAAATACTGATATATTTTCAATCTCTGCCCTGCCCCTAAACTTGCGTGAATAATTTCAATATCTTTATTCATTCTCGTTGCTTACAGACCCGGTGGTTTTGATTATCGACCCAGATCACACTACCGGGACTTGGACGCGCCGCAAGAACCGTACTAGAACTAGTTGTGCGCAGATCACAAGCTAAATCAATTGTATTTATCACATTAACTGTAAACACTCAAATTAAGTTATCTGAATTGACGCCTGTTTTGTACGGTATACTTTTGTATTTAACGGAAAAAAGCGAATAAAGTGCAAATGAAAAGCGAACTAAAGAGGTGCCGAGATCTTTCTGTGGGAGCACTCTGTGGGCTCACTTTCTCATCGTAAACAGAGAACAGTGCGAGGGCGCTGGTTCGAAGAGAGTACTCTTAGCAGAATAAAGAGTCTAGAATTTGAAAAATGTGCTAAAAATAAGACAACAGTTGCCGGCTTTCTGAAATTAGACGAGTCAAAAAGAAAATTTAGTTTGCCAACGTAACATCGCGGTGCGGTTCGATAGTGGAAAAATATTTATTCAGGATCAGCATGGGGCCAAGCACAGATTGTCCCGTTTGCGGAGTGGCTGCTTCTCAGGCATGCACCAGGTGCAAGATGGTGCGCTACTGCGACCGAGAGCACCAGAAGCAGCATTGGCCGCAGCATAAGCGCAGCTGCAGGCCCTTTACGGAGGGAGAGGATGCCCAACTTGGGAGGTACTTAATGGTTACCCAGGACGTTGCAGCCGGGCAGATCGTGTTTATCGAGGAGCCACTGGTGGTGGGGCCCAAGTGGTACCTTTCGGACGCGGAAAAGGAGGGCAGTGTCGTTCCATGTGTGGGCTGTTTCGCTCCCTGTCGTCTGGGCAAGCACCAATGTCGCAGGTGAAACCACATTTTCATTCAGAATTGTGTATCCATTTGAACCAAACATTTTCTAGATGCCGCTGGCCAGTCTGCAGTTCCGGCTGCGAACACGAGGCCCTGGAGTGCAGTGTGCTTAGCTTGGGAACTGCTCCACCTGCACGGGCGGATACTCGCACACTAAACGATTACTTTAGGGGCGATGCCCTTCTGGTACTGAAGTGCTTGCTCTTGCAGCGGCAAAGTCCAGCTAAGTGGAATGCTCTGCTTGAGATGCAGTCGCACGAGGAGGAGCGCAAGGGCACCGATCTGCATGAGGAGGCAGAGAAGCGGGTTGTGAACTATTTGCAGCAACGATTCCTACGTCGACTCAATCAAACAAAGCCAAAACTACTGCACGATTGTGGGTCAGAGCTGCTACATCGACTGTGCGGCATCATCGAAACCAACTTTATGGTCATCGAGCTTCCGTCGGGTGTGGAACTAAGTGGGTTATTTCGGCAGGCCTGTATGATGGAGCACGCATGTCAGCCCAACTGCGACTTCCAGTTTGATGCCATAACTCAGCAAATTGCTGTTCGGGCAGGGTGCGACCTGCGAAAGGGGGAACACCTTCAAATCACCTACACAAACATCTTGTGGGGCACCCAACTACGGCAGCACCATCTGCGCCTAACAAAGCACTTCAGCTGCCGTTGCAGCCGTTGCATGGATCCCACGGAATATGGCACCTACTTTAGTGCTTTGGCATGTCTTGGCGATGTGAACCAGACGTGCTCTGGCAACCATCTTCCCGTCGATCCTTTGGACGAAAACACCCAGTGGAAGTGCAATTCTTGCCCAATGCTAGTAGATGGGGCCTACGTGTCCGAGTTGCAGACCCACATGACCGATCAGGTGGATAGCTTAATGGCTGGATGCCCTTCCGCTAATCAGGTTGAATTACTCCTGGCCCGCCTATCCCAAATGCTGCATCCCAACCACTTTCATACATTTAATCTGAAGCATACGTTAATCCAGCTGTACGGCAATGAAGCTGGCTTGGAGTTGGTCGGACTCAGTAGTGCCCAGCTAGAACGGAAATTACGTCTGTGCGATGAACTCTACAACGTCTGCCGGCGTCTGGATCCGCATAGCATCAAACTTGCTATTTACGTAACGGTCATATTGATTGAGATCGCCCACACGCTGGAGGAGCAGGCAAGAAGAGATCCAGCGAAAAGAGCTTCCCTTCTAGGACTGGCACAGGCTCGGCTCATGGAAGCCCAGGTTGTTCTAGGGAAGGAGCACGCATCTGTAGCCGGCACAAAGCTTAACGACAAACTGCAAAAGGAGATTTTTGAGTGCGAGAAACAAATTCTGACCCATACCTATATTCAACCCGACGTCGGTCAAAGGTAACCTTTTGTTGAATACTTTAAAAAATTTGAAGTAATTTTTTGTTGAATACTTTAAAAATTTGTTTAAATTGATAAAACGTTGGCAATTAAAATTAAATAGGTTCGTTGGCCCTTTGTCCCCTCAGAACTGTTTTCTTTTACTGTTTACTTAATTTGCTGATCTTGGACTTATTAGATGAAAACAAATTAAAGAGAAGTAACATAAAGCATTAAACATCTTTACAACAACATATTTAGCGACAGTTAAACCGTTTTATAAAGCTTTTTTAATTTCAAAAATAGTTTTAAACAAAAATTGTTTATTATCTAATGACTAAAGTTAAATTAAAAAAAACCTAGTTTTGATCAGCTTGTAGCTTGGAGCTCGACTTGTTGCTGTCGCAGAAGCTGTGGGTGTGCACGTAGGATGTCCCGTTGATGGCGAAGGTTCTTGATAATTCCTGGCAAGTGCCAGGAGTGCCGGAGCAGGCTATCCTTCACATCGAAGTGACCGTGCCGCACGCAGCGCAGGTGCGAACAGTGTGCCACCGTGCGTAGTTCCAAGGCCATGTCGTGCACGAGGGCGACCAGATACTCCTGCGTCTCGTTGATGGCGTGCACTTCCATTGTGAAGTTTGGCCGGTCGAAGTGGATTAGTTTTAAACCATAGACGACTGGTAGGCTGTCGTCAGCAGGGCGGAGAAGACCCCTACAGGCCAGCTCATAGGCCTCCTGAGTCTGCAAATCAACGCCGCACAGCTCGAACATTTTACGCTGATGCGAGGCCTGCATAGAGGCTGCTAGGCCGCTAATTCGGTCCGCAGACACGTGACGGTGGTTGGAGCGGATTGTGACCCGTGAGTCTGGCAGGTGGGTTTCTGTGGCGCTGCCCAGGCAACCGGTGATGTGATAGACTCGCACAGGGCGGTTTTTCCGAATGCTGGTGGCTTGCCCCGTTCCCCTGTTGATTCCGAAGACTGAAAATATAACGGTATATTTTATTTATTTATGATCTAAAGGCGATTTACTTGACTCACGTAGAACTCCGCTGGTGTGATCCCCCAGGCTGGTCACTGTGGCGCAGCTAAGGTCCCGCGGAAGGTATCGCGGTCCGGCGGACAGAACGTGGTCAGACAGATCCGTATGTCCAGCTATGTTGTGCAGGACTGGGTCGGCGGCGGTGCCTGTTCCTAATAAGGGTTTGTTCTCCGGCAGTTTACGAGGTTCCCGTTGTTTCATTTCGTTTAGTCCTAAAACGACTTCCCTAATTATTTTTACCACTTGTCTAGCCACATTTATTTACCCTTGCAAATGTTGCTGAGAATGGCATTTCTTACGTGCTTTACCTTCATGCCCGCCGGCTTGTATATATTTAAAATGCCACCCAAATGCTTTAACACAGTGGCAGAATCATAAACCTTTGTGAGAGCCATAATACCCAAAAATTACATTAAATTTTATAATTTTTGAAAAGTGTTGGTAAACATGAAGTTACAGCTGGGCACACTTGCTGTCCTGCCCTAGCCGAGTAGAGTTGTCCACAAGATTGATTTGTTTACCGAAAATAAAAGGTTTAAAAACTTCTTAACTAATCAAAATTGATTATAAGGTTAATATATAAATATATAACTTTAAAATTCCTCTTATACCGTCTGTACCGCTTGTATTGGTTGACCTAGATTGTACAAGCTATATTGGCAGCACTATAGCATAATGCTAAGACTCTTGTGGTTTGGGCACACTGTGTTCTTTGCACGTGTAAAATTTGTTGTTTGCCAAGCTTCCGGATTTTCGAGTTTAACAAGGACCATTTTGTCGCGATGAAGTGGACTACGGCAAATATTAAGCATGCAAACTACACGGCAAAGCACGAACTGTATGTGGGAACCCACACTGGGTCTTTTAAACGTAAGTCTGCCTGCCTTTAGCGGATATTATTTTTGTAATCATGAGAACATTTAGACCTGGTGCCCGGTTCCGAAAAAACTCCTCATGGGCAAAGCAATCTGAGCGAACTGGGTTCTCTAGACAAGGAGTCACGCGTCACATCACTTGCCTTTGGCAACGAGGCGGAGACTGAAATATTGCTCGGTCGGGCCAAGAACGCCGTGGAGCTCCTCTCCTTTGCAGAGGGAGGCACCTCCAGAAAGACTGTATCATTCAGCTCCGCACCTATCGTGGGACTGGCCCGGTACAATGACAAGCTAATTGCTGGCATTGGTAACGGGCAGATACAGACTCTTCAGCTAGAGGTAGATGAGGAGTCTGAGCCCGTGGTCATCACTACGGGAAATCAAATTGACCATCTGCGTCAATGTGCGCAGGTCAGGAGCGTTGTGGCCACCGGCGGAAAGGAGCGGCAAAATAACCTGAAGGTGTACGATTTATGTTCCGACGCCAAGCAGGTTTTCAGCTCCAAGAACCTACCAAACGACTATCTGCAGCTGGAGGTGCCCGTTTGGGACAGCGACATCGGCTTCGTAGATGGGCCTAGTGTGCTAGCCACCTGCTCACGAACGGGCTACATTCGCTTGTACGATACGCGCAAGCAGCGACGTCCGGTTGCGTGCTTTGCCAGTGAGGAGCATGGAATGAGCTTTACGACTCTGGTGGCACGTGGAAATTTCATTTACTCGGGCACTACAATGGGCGCACTGAAGGCCTTCGACACACGACGCATGAAAACACATGTCCATACTTACAAGGGATTCACTGGTGGTATCAGTGATCTGCATCTGGACAGCACGGGTCGGTATTTGAGCTCGGCTAGTCTAGACCGATATGTGCGTATCCATGACTCGGAATCGACAGTGCTGCTCTACCAATGCTATGTCAAATCGAAGGCCACCAAGATCCTCATACGTCAGGCAAAAAACGAATCGCAGGTCTCTGAAGAGGATGAGAGGGAGGTACAGCTGGATGTAGAGGATAGCTTAAAGAAAAGCAAGAGGATTAAGGCAACACCTGTAGACGATGAATACGAAAACCTTTTTGATCAAATGCCTACTGTGGGGTGAGTATATTCTTCGTTTTATTATTGGGTGAATAAGCTTAGACCTCCCTCGTTTCACAACAGCGACAGTGAAGATGAACCCGCAGAAACAAACGCAACACAATCCAAGCCGAAGCTAAAACGGAAGTCTGTCAACCAGAGTTTAAAACCAAAAAAGAAAAAAAATTAAAAAGCTAGTGTCATTTTAAGTAGTTTAAGGCAAAAAGATTCAATATAAAATTATAGTTTTTAAACCCGGTTGGCCTTCACACGTGCTGTTTTGCGGAATATCGGTCATGGTTATTCAAGGCGAAAACCATTTTCTTAAAAAATTTTTGGGCATGCAATACTGACATTTTTATCCCATTAAAGCACTAGAGTATCGTGAATACTTAATATACATATTATATGATTTAAAAGCGAACATAACAGGAAACGACGACAACGTTGTCGTCAAACCCACACGAAACCACTGCGGCCGGAACAGCAGAAATATGGTAAGCTCGAATAAGAAGGTTGAATGAATGTATGCAAGTATGAGAAAGCCGCAACGCGGAAGGTTCGTGACCCCCTTGTCAGCCTCCCGACAAGATGTACGTGGGCGACCTTTCTAACCAGATATGACAGTGAGCCGAATGAAGTATTGGACCCGTAAGAATATTAACAGGATTTTTGCCACCTTCCACAAAGTGGGGCTCCGGTTGCAGTCCTTGACACTGTCGGGCAGCACTTTTGTACAATAGCTCCAGCAAAAAGCACGCAGGAATGTGGCTTCAGAGGCAAATCCATTGCTTTAACAATTATTGCTTTGGCTTTAAAACTATTTTTTCTTTATTCAGCTAGTTAATGAATGAAACTCCATTCCTTTCTTTTACTGACTGATGAGAATAAGTACATTCTTATCTGCACTCTGTTTTATTTAATTTAACATTATTGAGGTTTTAAAAATACTTTTTATACCCTTGCAAAGGGTATTATAATTTCAGTCAGAAGTTTGCAACGCAGTGAAGGAGACACCTCAGATCCCATAAAGTGTATATATTCTTGATCAGCAACACGATCTGAATCGAAATACATACGTCTGTACATCTGTACTTCTGTCCGTCTGTCCTCCTGTTTGTTTCTATGTAAACTAATCCTAGTTTTAAAGCTATCTTGCTGAAACTTTCCAAAAAGTTGTGTAGTTATTGCACGCAGTATATATGTAAGTCGGAAGTGGCCGAATCGGGCGACTATATCGGATAGCACCCGTTCGAGAGATTAAAAGCAACAATTATCGCGTCGTTGTTTTTTATCATATCGACTTGATTTTTTCCGAGTGGTGTTTTTTAACGGGGCTAGCCGAACTGCGCGAAAAATGCAATTTATTATATTATTTTATTTTTATGAAATTTTTTTATGTGCAAAAAGCGTTTTCGCGCAACTCGGATGTGTTATTTTTTTTACCGTAATCAATAGCAAAAAATGATAACGTCGTTGTTTTTTATCCAACGAACATGAGTTTTAAAATATAGAGTTTTTTAAATACCCTTGAATCGAGAAAAAAATTTTATACAATTCGGACAACTATATCATATAGCTGCCATAGGAAAAATCGAAAAAAAAAATTATAACATCGCTGTTCTTCATCAGACAAGCATAACTTTTGGAATATGTATAAAGTTTTCTAATGACTTTCGAATTTCGAATAAAATTTTATAAAATTTGGCCGACTATCTCATATAGCTGTCATACGAACAATCGTCGAAAATATATACCATTAAAAGAAAAATCGTCATAACTTCAATTTTTTTAATATTGTTCGACATATTTGTACTATAAGCTTCGGTTCGCCGAACCGTGTAACTTATAAAAGAAACTGGTTAAAGCTTTAACAACTTATTAAAAACTCAAATTTTTTAGTTTCGAATTATCTGAACCACTTCGAGTTAAGCGATTTTCACCATTAATCTTGTAATTGTAATTTAAATTCACATTTGAGACCTTATAGCCAAGTCACCAAATTCTTTCGATTTCGCTTCACATTTTCTTTATCGTTTTCAATTGGTTTTGGCATTTAAAAGGTTTATTATTCCTCTGTTTGCTATTGTTGGACAAAACTTATTTGCAAACTTTTGTGTATGTTATAATTCGATTTCTCGTCAAATTAATTTGTTCTTGATTCCCGTAAAGTTATTAATTCTTAGCCTTACTTTTCACATAAGCTGTATTTCCGATTCCCGCAAACTAGCTGAAGTGCATTTAAAATGTTCAACAATCTCCGCAGCCTTAACTTCAGGGCTTTAAAAAGAGTTGGGAAACTATCTGGCTGAGGTTTGTTTGGTAGCAAGCCCTCCATCCTCTTCACGCCAGTAGTTTTGCGTGTTCAAATCGCCTGAATCTGGCTCCTAAGCCGGGACAATAAAATTCCGAACTTGTGCTTGCTCAACATCCAAAGGACTGTGAATCCAAGTTGCAGCCGGGGGAAACATTTTGTAAGAGTTTTTGCAAACTGCAGCTGGAAGTAAGAGGAGGTCCTCGATTTGTTGACTCAATCGAATGTTTATCGGCATGCTTTCGTCCCTTTGTTGTCGCTGCTGAATAGCTTTAAGTGAATTTTAATTAGACACGAGCAAGGCAACTGCCTGTGTGAGAGCGCGTTGATAATTCGTGGTTCGAGGGGAATTCGTAGGAGCAAATGAGCGTTGGCCCGCCAAGCAGAAGAATTTAATATGAACTAGAGCCAAGATAAGCTGAAAACTTTTAATTTCTCTTTCCGAATAGAAGCCGGGCAGGTTATTCTTTGATACCAGGCATCCAACTTTAAAGCGGTTTCTATCTCGAGCACGCGTCCCAAATTGAGGCAGCCATAAAGGTAGCAGGGAGATAAGGCAGCCACCTAGACCCCGCCCTGGCTTCTCCCTTTTTACCCCACCCTAGTCCTAAACACACACTTCCCAATGCTGACGTCGAAATGCCTCTTAGTAATCTGGCGGCATTTGGTGAAATTTGCTAAGCGTGTCGCAAACATGAGAGCTGTCGGTGATTGAAACCTGTAAGTCGGTGAGTAATATGCCCAAAAATGCGTGGGGCGGCTGCCACTACCACAGCCCTCTATCCTTTCAGATAAAATTTTAATTTCATCTTAGCGTTTCCTCAGCCCCGCAAAACTGGGGGAGGGAACCTTAGAGCCCCGCCGTTTTTGTAGTTTCAGATACGCGCCGGAAAACTTTTATTTGCTGAAAAATAATTTGGCTTCCAAAGTTGGCGCCTCGCTCTGGTTACCATCACCAGAAATTCAGCGCGTGAGCTTTGACAGCCGCCAAAGTTGGACAACGTTTGACAATGTTTGCCGGAGCAGAGCTCGGTTTTTTAATGCCGGAGCCAACTTTGTGCTCGTGATTATGTTGCAGTTTGCAAATAGCTAATAAATTGGCTAAAAGTTGCAGGGCCGGAATTGTTCACAAAGGATATTAACTCGGAACTGTTTCGCCCTCTGGGGGTGTGTTTGTTCAGCATTAGTTTAACAACGTCCTTGCGGCCCATCGAACCCATCGGCCTAATGGTTAGTCAACCTCGAATCAATCAAATCAACCCATCTGATGAGCTCGGGGCTGTTTGCTTATTTGGACAGCTCTTGGGAATGTCTTTCCGCATCGCCTTGGCCCATGGTGTCAGCTGCCCGCGGCCATAAAGACGAGCTGCGCGTTTATTTGCATACACATCGAATGGTGAAAGCCACAACGAGCCTTATTACGATTCGAACACAATGAGAAGTGGCCCATAATCGTAAAGAAGGCAAGCAATTCGCTGGCTCTGTTTCTGGCTGCCACCGCCAGAGAATCCCCAGTTCCGGGCCAAGATTTGTATCGCTGGCCAGTTCCCCGACAGATGGCCAGCCCTTTGGGCGTGGACGAAGGAGGTGGAGGCGGAGCAACAAGAGCGTCCGCCAAGATGGGACGGCCCGAGATGTCGGAAATTATGTGCGTTGCGCTTGCGACCACGCCAGGGAGAAATTGAAACGGAAGCGCTGAAGTTCCGGTTTTCCCACGAGCGTTTGGTGGAGCGGCCTGGGGCCGCATCCAATCGATGGAGTAGTTAGCATATTGGATGCCATTACCGAATTCTGCTTTAAACTGGCCCGATTCGAGACTCTTTCTTGCCACTCCTCGGATGACGTCTGGGCACGAGCAAGGGCGATTCGAGAGCGCGCTCCTCACATAAATGGCTTCGTGCCAATACCAAATATTTGGGGATGTAGACCGACTTTGCAAGTTTGAAGTCAATTTAGCGGAATGTAGCCGGGACAAAATATGTGGGCTACGGTGCTTACCCGTGGGCCAGGCTTGAATATTTGTGTTATTTTCTGCGAGGCCGGAAAGTTGTGTGAGTTGCACATGTGCTCCGGTAGGATACTCAAGGACTGTAGTCTGTCTGGCACTTTGCATTTCTGGCCCAATTGACTTTTAATGGCTCTATGGTCCCGCGATGCGGCTGAAACAACAAGCACAAGTTCGACTGCCTTTCGGAAAGTTTAAAGCAATGCCAAAAAAGGGTTGCGAAATATTGAAATGGCTTTTGGGTGAGATAAAAAATAAAAAAGGGGTGTGTCCAGCCTACGCACGACAGAAGTGAAACTTCTTCATCACTACTCATTTTTATACACTTGCAGAGCAAAAGGGTATTATAATTTCAGTCAGAAGTTTGCAACGCAGTGAAGGAGACACCTCAGACCCCATAAAGTATATATATTCTTGATCAGCATCACGAGCAGAATCGGAATACGTCTGTACGTCTGTCCGTCTGTCCATCTGTCCGTCTGTTCGTTTCCGCGCAAACTAGTCTCTCAGTTTTAAAGCTATCTTGCTGAAACTTTCCCAAAAGGTGTGTAGTTATTGCACGCAGTATATAAGTCGGAACGGGCCGGATCGGCCGACTATAAAGGATAGCTCCCATACGAGGGAATGAAATGAAAAATTCTCACGCCGGTGTTTTTCGTCAGATCTACTTGAATTCTTCAAGATGGCGTTTTCTAACTGTTATTGAATTTCGGATTAAATTTGATCAAAATCGGATAACTCTATCATATAGCTGCCATAGGAGAGATCGAAAATTATATATAGAATTAATGGAAATAAATTGATAACATCGTTGTTTTTTATCCCATGATTTTTTGAATATCAAGTTTTTTAACAACGTTTATATTGAGAAAAAAGTTTCATAAAAATCGGTCATCTATATCTTATAGCTGCCATAGGAAAGATCGAAAAATTTA